CTCCCCACCCCCCCAAAGCCGCTGATGAAGAAGCAGGCGGTGAAGCGGCACCACCACAAGCACAACCTCCGGCACCGCTACGAGTTCCTGGAGACGCTGGGCAAAGGCACCTATGGCAAGGTGAAGAAGGCGAGGGAGCGCTCCGGCAAGCTGGTAAGCGGAGCATCTCTGCTTAACCCTTCCCCTTCCCTGCGCCGCAGGGGACCCCGCTCCCCGGGGGCTGCCCTAGCGCGCAACAGCCCCTCCAAAAGCGCCGCGCTACCCCCGGCTGGATCTCCCCTTCCCTGCGGCTCCCCCCCGGGTGCGCTGCGCCTGTTGGGGGAACGCTCGCCCCCGCGGGTGCTTTCCGCGCTCGCCTGGCTCCCGGACGCAGCTGCTGGTTTAGTAAGTCCCCGGCACGCTGGGTCTTGTCCCGTGGGGCGCGCGGAGCCCAGCCGGGCACAGCAGAGGCGGGCTGGGCAGGTCTTCAGGTTCAAGGCTGCACCAGCTGCGGAAGGTGCGGCGAGGGGGAGCCGGCTGCCTGGTGCATGGTACGTGACTATTTACCAGACGGTAATTCACGGGGGAGGGCACGGCTGCTGAAACGAAGCCTTAGCTCGTGGTGGGGATAACAAGTCAGGCAAAGAAGACGTGAAAAGCAAATTCAACGAGGTTGCTGGCGCTGCCGCTTGTCCGGACAAGACCTGGTAGAGCAGCCTTGCAAAATCCTACTTGCCCAGGGTGACTAACTCTCTTTCATGGGGGGAGAGTAAAGCGATTAGGCTTCAGCTTCATGGTGCTGGCAACTTCCCGGTGTTTTGCTAGTGCCTTCCTAGGTGGAGCAGGTGAGATGGTCACAGACAGTCCCTTGGCCTGCCCCTCTGAGGGGGCCCTCTCTTTGTGGGCTGGGATTATGAAATTAACAGTACCTTGTTGTTGTTTGCTGCAGTGGGAGGCTGTGTTGTGCAATGCAGAGCACTTCTGCCAGGGAACTTTTTTTTTTTTTTTTTTGTCCTCCTTGAAAGGAAAGGACAGGCCAGCCAGTCCTCTGCTGCTGTATTTACTGTAGTTGCTATAATTGATCTGACATGAATTGCTACTGGTCTGCCTTCATGGCCTGTGCTAATTTGAAATGCAAAAAGGCACCTCTCTTTGGCAGGGTTCAGGGGAGCCTATTGTCAAATCAGCTGGGATTTCAAGCTCTCCCCTAAAGGCCTGCCTGATTCTGGCCTTGCCTAGCTGCTATACAGCAGGAGTAACTTGGCTGAAGCAATTGGAATTGTGAAGGAGGCAGTTTCTGGTTTTATATGAAAGCTTTCGATAGTAAAACTATCTGGTGCACATCACAGAGGCCGGCGCTAGGGCATTACTCACTGTGTAAACCCTTTCTCAGAGGGACCGTGGATAGGTTTGGCAAGATCTGTAGGTCAGAGAACTTGGCCCAGCAGTTATGTTACTAACTTTTGGAGCACTACCAAGTGGCTCATTGATTGGGGGGGGGGGTGAGAATTTGGGTGGAGGAGACCATAGCTTCCTGCTGCACACTCTGATGATCAAAGTCAGAGGCGATAGTGAAAAGAGATTTGTACATATCCTGTAGCACTTGAGCAGCAGAGAGCAAACATCACCCTAGAGTCTCTTGCCCCCTCCTCTCCCCATGAGTTTCGGTTGACATACAAAGTCTAAACGGTGCGGCTTGCATGGAACTCTATCCCTCTAAATTGTCTCCTCACCCCTGGCTCCGAGGGTTTATCTGCTTTTATGGAAAGGTTAATTCAGCATGATGGTATCCCTGCCTCTCGTAAGCTATGTATAGCATCTCCAAAAACTCCATGCTTTGGACTTGGGCTGTATCGCTTCACAATCTGGTTTAAATCACTGTAAATTCCCCTGTGGTTGAAAGCCCACGTTCTATTCAGAGAGCTTTTTTGGGGCGGGGGAATGCTATCCCAAAATGGATCAGCTACAAAATTACTGGGAGCACCTAAACCCCTCTGCGAAAGTCTAAATGGCTCTTTCCTTGCTCCCCTGCTTTGAACACTGAAGGTGCAAGAGGTGATCCATTAAAGAGAGATTCAAACCCAGAAACCCACATGACCCCTCCTGTGGGTAAATGTCAAGATGCTAATTTCAATATCTCCGCTAGCCTGACAAAGCATCAAAGTGCTGAAGTCCTGAGAAGAAAGCATGGGTGGGTCTCAGCTTCAATTAGTAATGCAGCAGAATGGCATGTGAAGAGAAACAATTGTGCTCTGACTTGCTGTAATGCTAACACTGCAATATTCCTTTCCTTCATTACATGGAGTAGTTCTGGGCTGACCAAAGTAGGCGCATAGGAAGAGCTGGCCTATCAGCTGCTTCTGGAGCCTCCTAATCTGCTGTGTCTCCAGGAATGTGACACTGTAGTGTTTCTTGTCCTGGAAGGATCTCTTTGGTCAGGGAGCGGGAGACTTAATAGGCTCAGTCTTCATAACTGACTTGCCACTGAATACCTAAAAGCAGATGTCATTAGCAGGGTTCCCTCTAATCTCTTCCTTCTGTGTGCAGAATAAACTTTGTGATGTGCACTGAGGCATGTGTGAATGTGCACCACCAGGAAAAACAAACCTAGCTGTGGGCGCTATGCTAATCAGCTGGGCGACACTGGAATCTCTCCTGAGCAACTGCACAAGCACCCAGTTTACAGGGAACACTGATCATTTGGCTTGTCTAAGTCTTGGAATTAAGCTCACTCAGACAGGAGTTACTGTCTGTACAGTGCCTAGCATAATGAGACCCTGGCCTCCTTGCACTGCCATAATAGAAATAACGTACACCGGCCACCTAGATGTAGGTGATTTAGCTTGTTCACATATCTAATCATTCACCTAGAAGCAGGCTCCTGCCTCACAAAACCCTCTTGTGTTCTCCTCTTAGCCCCACTTGGCAGCAAAGTGGGTTAATATTTGTTCGGGGGTTTTTTAAAGTGGCTTCCGCTTCTTAAATATTAAGGAGTAGGAGCAAATAACTTTCTTTTGGATACTTAGTCTTTTCATGGACGTGAGCGACTTTAACTCTACTGGTAAGAGTCGCTCTTGCCTCCAGCCAAGCAGAAGCTGCCTCTGATGGTGTCATCAAACACAATTGTCTTGCCTTATGTCTGTTCTTTCCCTTAGCTTGAGCCCTCCTACCTAGATTCAGACCAGTCAAAGCAGAACTTGCAGTCATCTTTCATCCCAGTGCCATTGGGTGGGTGGGTTTCAATTCAAGTTTGCAGGCTACCTGAAAATGGCCCCTTTTCTGTGTGGAAACATCAATTTTCTGCTAGAAACACCCCTTCGCTGCAGGGCACGAGAGCCCCTCCAGCTGAAGATGCAAGAACACGTTTCAACTGCACTTGCGGCTAATGTCTTTCCTGGCCGCTTGGCAGTCGGCCTCCCAAAGTGACTCCGATGCTGAGCGCGTGGTTGGTTCTTGCTCTTGTCTTGCTATGAAGTGCCCAATGGGAATGCGAGCCAGCCTTCTGCACCTGTTTTGCTCTGCAGCACCTGCCCATAGGTTGCGGGGAGAGCCTTGCTTTTAGTGCTTGGGTTTCAGCCAAGCCAAACAAGAGGCTTGAGTTTCTATTGCACTTGCCTGCAATGTCTGACGGATACTCCCGGGCCTGCTATGTGGAGGGGGCATCTGGAACAGCTTTTTAAAAGGGCAAGCCTCCCTTTTGATCCTTAGTAACAAAACGCTGGGTGTTCCTGTAATGGGGTGGAATGGCATCCATAGGGATATGAGATCGTGCTCACGATCTGGAACTGCTTTTCCAGCACCTAATGGGCTGGTGGCTTTGCAATGATCCTTTCATCCCCTGTTAGAAACACACTCTGCTCTTTCTGCCCCCAACGCAGAATGAACCCCTGCTGATTCGGACTTGGCTGCCACTCTGGTGACGCACAGCTCCGAGGCTCTCGGGTGCGCTCCCATGGGATGTTGCTCTGTTGTTTAGGCAGCCTGACACCGTGAGGACCGAGTTGGCTGTCTTGGCCAGCCCCCAGTGGCACAGGCATCTACCTCCTGGACAGCCCCACCAGCGGGAGCGAGCTAAGGAAACTCCACCGCTCTCTTGTGGATGGAGGCTGCTTCAGCTTAAAGCTGGGAGCTTGCCTTGGAGTTGCTCATGCTGTACCTGTGATGGGGGTAGGACGAAGCACAGCTGAGTAGCGCGACTTCAAGCCAGCACAAAGCTCCTATGGCAAGCTAATGCTGGAGCTTGACTACTGGACAAACAGTTTTGTCCAATAATAGGCAACTCAGTTTTAATTGCATGAGATTCTCACATGGACAGTGGCTTCTTCTCCTTGCTGGGAAGAACTCTCAGGGTGCTTGGCTGGGCACCATAGAGCTACTCTGTCCAAACCAGACTCTTTTCCTGGAGGAGCAACAAGGGGACGAGGAGTCAGGGTGGGAAAGAGACCATTGCTGCCAGCTGTTTGCTGTAACCTTAAGGAGCTAATGCCCAGCTGCATCAGACGCTTCTGAGGTTCCTCTTCTCGGAGGTTGGGTGGGAGCTGTTCCTCATCAGCCTGAGACGCAGGAACAGGCTCTTGCTCTGGGATCCAAGTGGTGCATGCAACAGCTCTTCAGTCAGCAGGCACCAAAGCTGCTGATGCAGCAGATGGCTCTGTGTCCCTAAGATCATCCGTGCAGGCTAGCTGCCAGGCATTCCAGGGAGGTGAATGACCAGCAAGTGACTCTCAGTGGAGAGTTTGAGGGTTGGGGGGTGGGAAGCAGGCAGGCTACACTGTTAGAGCAGTGCATCCTTGCTCTGAGAGCCTACCCTAGCCCAGTAGTTTTCAAATTAGGAGTCATGACCCAGGACTGGGCTGGGGGATGTCGGGCGCTGGGCCCTGTTGCTGCAGGGGGATCAGTGGGGGTGCTAATGCAGCTCCCTGCCTGTCCTGCACTGCACCCCAGATGTGGCCAGCAGCAGGCATGGCTCCTAGCTGGATGGGGAAGACAGTGCACAGGGCTTCGCACTGTCCTTGCCCCAAGCACTAGCTCTGCCCTCCCATTGGCTGGGAACCTGCTGCTGGCTGCTTCTGGGGGCAGCATGGTCTGCGGTGCCAGGAGAGGCAGAGAGCTGCCTTAGCCCCTCCGCTGCACCCCTGACCGGGAGCAGCTCAAGGTAAGCCCCTCCTGCCCCAGCCCTGATGTCCTCCCAAAGCTGGAGCCCCCTCTTACAGCACAAAGCTCCCATACTTAACCCCACCTGGGAGCCCACAGTCCAGTTGGGTCGTGGGCATCAACAATTTTCTTCAACTAGGTCATGAAAGAGAAGTTTGAAAACCCACTGCACTAGAGAATGGAGCTTTGAGAGAGAAAGGGTTAATCTTTAACCCACAAACCTACACAAAGGTCACTGACAGCGCCTCAACACAGCACCCTAAACAAGATACACAATTTGCGTAGCGCAAATTGTGTATCTTATTTCAAATCTATTTCAAAATAGTGTTTCGAAATTTGGTGCTGTGTAGATGTGCCAGATTTCAAAATCGCACGCTATTTCTTGGTCCCTCTTAACCCTCGTGGAACGCGGGTTACCAGGATGCCAAAACATGCCCATTATTTCAAAAAATATTTTGAAATAACGGGTAGCTTGTGTAGACACGGGGTAGCTATTTCGGGATGCCTCCAGTATCCCGAAATAGCTGTGCAGTGTGGATGTACCCTGAGTGTCCAGTGTTCACGCTATTCCTGGCTGGAGTGGCTCTTAACCTTTTGTGTCTACACACGACTTGCACATACAAGAGGAGGATGTTAAGTGCTCCTCTCTGACCAGCTGCTAGTGCTGGATTAGGTGAGACCCCAACATAGAGCAGAGAGCTGCTTGGCTATGTGGGGTGATTCGACCTCTCTTGTCTGTCTAAATGAGCCGTTGCACAAAGGGATTGATGTGGCAATCTAAAGTTGGCTGCTCCAGCAGTTCGTGATCATCATTAGTGATGTGACTGGCTTGGCTGAGCTGTCACTTTCTCTTGGGAGATGTCAGTCTGACGTCACCAGGGGAAGACAGTGACCTAACAGGAATGGCAATGATGCAATGTGAGTGGCTCATCTCTTGTGACACCGGCGTGCATGCAGAGCAGCGAGCTGGCATGCACGCACCTAGTTACTCCAACCTCCCAGTCTGCAGCATGGCTGGGATAAGGAAGAGTGTCAAATCTGACATGGGAAAGTAACTGATGGGGCACTGCTCTGGCTGGCTGAGGAGCAGCAGGAGGAGGAAAGCCAGGGAAGCCTTGGGTTGAGCATCGGTTGCCCAGCAGATCACCTGTAGAAAGATTTACCTCTCCTCTTTCAAAGAGAACTAGAGTCCTGGGGTGCATGGCAGAGTGGCCCCCGCTTGCCTTGTTGCTGGGATACCTGGCACTTTGTATCACGTAGGATCCTTTTACAGGATTAACGCTGTTCCGCATTCTTGTCTGATGGAAGAAAAGAGGTTCTGCCGGATTCAGTTGTAAATTCAACCCAAGGCGTGCATTGTTTCTCGCCAGTCCCTTTGAAAGAGGATTAGGAGGCATCCATTCTCCAGCACTTTTCTTTTGCCTCCTCTTTCCTGGTAGAGGAGCGTTCATAATAATGAAGCAATCTGAGCAAACTCTGGCACACTGGCTGCTACGGCCAGTTTGTATTTTCAGCATTCTCACCACGGAAGGGAAGTCCCATGTTTACTCCTTGTGCCTGCCTTGGTCATGTGGGGACCATTAGCAGGAACTTGCTGATGACTCCTTGAATGCCAAACATCATCTCCTCAAAGTCAAGTCATCTGTCCCTCTGAAACAAACATTTGTGGAGAAAGCAAGAAACCTGTTTTCCATCTGCACCAAATAAAGATGTTGTTTATCTTCCAAGTCATGTGTACAGGTCACATTCCGTTCACTGGTTGTAACTTGCTGGTCGGCCACTGTTCACGTCAAGTAACTACCAGACTGGCCCCTTGCGACCTTGCAGGAAAGCTGGGTTTGTGGTTTCTGGCAGAGCTGGCAGAACTCACAATCTTCTTGGTTTTCTGGCTATTGGGAAGTAGAGAAAAGAACAGCTTTTCAGGGAGAAAAGGGCTCTCTCCCCCTCCCCCCATCATTCTGCAATGAAGTACAAATCTGGAGCAATTCTAACTGGATTACATGAAAGTGAGACCTGACCCAGCTCGCTGTTGTAGATATAGGTGCTAACTAGAGGGGTGCTGCACCCCAGGGAAAAATTAGTGGGTGCAGAGCACCCACCGACACAGTGCTCCTCCGCCTCCCTCTCTTTCCGTGCATGCAGGTGTCCCCACTGACCAACTCTTCCCCTTTTCTCCCAGCACTTCTGCATTGCTGCAAACAGATGAGTCTGTAACATTCAGGAAGCTTGGGGAGGAGCAGGGATGGGGTAGAGGCTTGGGGAGGAGGCAGGGTCTAGGGGAAGGCCTGGAGTGACAGCAGGGTCTGGGGTGGAACACCCCCCAGCTGGAGGGGAAATTGGGCCCCTGTGATTGTAGAGACATGGGATTCAAAGGGAGGTGACCATTTGTAAAGGACAGCAACAAAATATCTCACCAAGACAGCCTAGCCCTGGAACCACATCCCCAATAAGGCTGAATCCCAAAATGTGAAAGACTGCCCTGTTACAGCACAGGGCAAGGACTCCTGGGTTCAAAGCCCCTGTTCTGCCACAGGCTCCTTGTGTGACCCTGGGCAAGTCACCCAAACTTCTGTTTCTCTTCCCCATCCCTAACGTAGGAGACTCGCCAGTTACATAAGCGGTGTCCCCATCTGTCGCTCCAGTCAGCGACGCCCTGCAGGAACACCACAGGCTCCGGCTCTGATGCCTCCTCTCGCTCTGCTCTCCTTTACAGGTGGCCATCAAGTCAATCCGGAAAGACAAAATTAAGGATGAGCAGGATCTTGTCCACATCCGGCGAGAGATTGAGATCATGTCGTCCCTCAATCACCCCCACATCATTGGTATCCACGAAGGTAGGCTTGGCGAATGTGGCTATTTGTGAGGGGTGGGGGGCGCAAGTGTGAGGACCTGAAGCAAAAATGAGGTAGCGCGCGTGCCCCGGTGCGCCACTCAGGTAAGAGCCGGGTGGGGCGCTCCGCTGCAGGGTTCACTCCCAGGGTTCACTCCCAGCCGAGCTTCCAGGGCTCTCCTACAGACTGCGCTAAGCAGGAGGCAGCTGGAAGGGGCTAGCTTGAGGCTCCAGGCCCCGTTCAGGGCAGATAGAGGGGGCTTAACCTCCCCCACATTGTTTGTTCTTCCCCTTCCATCACTGTCAGGAACCAAGCGAACAGCACACAGCATTCCTCTCCCTCCTGGCTGGTCGGTGGTGGGGGCAGAGGAGTGAGTAACCCATGCTGCAAGCTCTCCTCTCGCGCCCTGACCGTGATGGAAGGGAAAAGGCAAGCAGGAATCTGTGGTAGGCGGGGGACCCTCAGCTCCTGCATCCCATACACCCCAGCCCCCCTTCAGGGGGGGCAATACAGTAGTACCTGTAAGTTGACATTCCTTTCACCCCTGGGGAGGACTTCAGTCCATGAATTAAACTGCTCCGGGCGAGGCAGTAGCCTGCTTTGAATAGCCTGGTTTATGCTGTGTGCCCTGCCAGCTGGCCCTTCACCTCTTCTTGCTCTTAGTGTGGTTGACACCTTTCTGGGGACTCTGCAGAGCTGGCTCACAGGCACGTGTGGTCAGATCGAGTGTTCCTTCCTCTGGATCCTGCCAAGTTCATTGTCCCTGGCGGGAGGGGATCTCCGCTTGGCTTTCTCATGCAGCGGTGGCCCCCTGCGCCATGAAACCAGCTTGCCACTGCGCTATTCTGAGCAACCCGCCAGCGTCAGCCAGCCAGAGGCTGGAAGGCATGCCGCTGCAGCCCTAAATACTACCCCTGGAAATGACCTTCCAGAGCAGCAGCCTGGGGGGAGGCAAGCTCCTTGGATCCAGTTGCAAACTGCAGCATCATGTTACATCACGCTGAGGGATGCAGCCGCTTGGATCTGTCTGCTGCCTTAATTGCTTCTGAAAGCTGGTGGGGGCGGGGAGCTGGGAGGTGTTTCGTTGGTGACCATTTGCCAGGTATCGGATTTAATTCCTGGTGGGGTGGGGGTGGAGGGGAATTACACTTAAACCACAGGGAGAACAGCTTGTTTATTACTCGTGGGGACAATTAAGACTCCCTTCATTTTCCCCGCCCTCCTCCCCCCAATGGAAAAACCTTACAAAACAAGCAGGCGGAAGCCACTCGTGTATTGCTCCTGCCTGGGGCACGAGCGTGTGACTCAGCAGGCGCTGGGAGCCGGCAGAGTGCAACGAGCCAGCCAGGCTTCTGCAGAACAGCTCTTGGATGGGATCCTTGCTTTGTGTACAAACCGGAGGCAGTCAGGTGGTAGGAGGGGAATACCGGCTCTAAAAATAGCAACTGCCCTCCTCTTCCCTTCCCTTGGGAGCAATGCACACAACAAAGGTTTGGCTTTTTTTTAGCCTGCCTGCCTCACAAGAGCCGTTAGCAAGCGAGAGACCCACAAAAGCATGGCTGCTAGATAGTTTAACCAAAAATACTGACCACCACCAACCCCCAAAAAAAACACCAGGGAAAAATTTCTGTGGGAGGGGAGGGAGACCAAAATTGTTGAGCAAAAAAAAGGACCCAGAGAATTGTTAAGCCCCCCCCCCCCCCAAAAAAAAGCCACCAACCCTAGCATGGCCCCTTTAAGAAACACTTTTGGGGCTTTTTGACCTTAACAGGCTGCCAGCAGCCATCCGCCATCTTGCCTCCCTGCGCCAGGCCAGACAGCTCCCCTGCGGAACCCAGAAAGCACCTGGGATTTTTGCCTCCTGGCTGGGGGGAAAAAATCAGAAAATACCGGACATTTTAGGTGTCTAGTATTTTCTGATTTTTTTTTTTTTTAAATTTATCGTACAGGAGGTGAAAATACTGGACTGTCCTGTTCAATACCGGATACCTGGCAACCCTAGCATGGCCTGGCTAGCAAGTGAGAGACCCACAAAAGCATGACCTGGCTAGCATAGAGGGTATAGAACTTTTTCAGGGCCTGCATTTGAATGCCAACTCCTGTAGGCTGCTGGTCAGAAGGGTAACTGGCTGTGATCTACAGGGAACGTTCCATCAACTCCAATTCTTAATGGCCTAGTGCAAAGCACTGCTGTATTGTCCTAGCATCAGGACTGCCAACAGGGGGAGTAAATGTGGCATTTGCCCTCGGGGTCCAGCAAATCAAAGGGGCCCCGGGCTCTCAACTGCTGCTGCAGTGCCCCAGGTCTCTTGCTTCGCTGCTGGAGCATCAGAGCATAGCTCCATATGATTCTCAGAGCTGGCCGGGAGCCCAGCACTGCAGTCTGGATGGTGCTGAGGGCTGGCTGCCTGGGCTCCACCCCTTCCAGGGGTGCCAATCCATTGTCCTCCACATGCGCGCGCACACCTTGCCTTGAGACCCTCCGTGGCTGTCAGCTCTGCTGCCTAGCATGAAGACTGAGCTACCCTCAATGCTAGAATTCTACTTGCCCATCCAAGCCCTCCTTGCAGGGCGGGGTGGTACAGCTTGGTCTCCTGCCCACTCTGTCTCAAACAGCACTTTGGTCCCCCGCCTTGTTAAGAACGTTGTGTTAACAAGCACTGAGCATGGGTGAAAATCTGCTCTCAAATTCTAAATGGCAGTCCAAGCTGCTCAGAGCAAGTTTCCAATTGGATCGCTTTCGTATATCATTTGAACACCGTACTTCCTTGGTTCTTTGAAACGTGTATTTCATATCTCTCGGTCAGCTGGCTCGCTGGAATTTTTATGACTCTTATCATGGTTGGTATGAGCTATATAGCGTAGATTTCTGAAAGGGTGTGATGCCCTGGTAAATATCTGCAGTATCTCGAGCCCTCTTCTCTAACAATAATACTTGTTTGTATTGAGTCATTCTGATCCTACCTCTTAGCTAAATCCAAAATGCCAAGTCTAAACATAGCAGAGGGAAAAGCCTACATGTCTTGGCTGAATCTGTCTGTGTAATGGATGATGAAGGGGGTAGGAGTCTACATCCAGCCATCCCAAACTGGAACCATTGCAGATCTATTCCTAAGAACCACACACTCTTTGGCAGCTTAGAACCCTTTGTTCCATGTGGCTTGTGGTTGTTGATCAATATCACTGCTTCCTAGCATCAGCTTCCTAAGCAACAGCCTGACTGTACCCCAGTAACAAACGGGCACTTAAGCCAAAGCAACAGAGCCCTAGATTTTTATGTATTTGGCTCAAATCAGAGCACTGAAATTGAGTGGGCAACAACCAGGCTGCAAGTTGAAAGCAGATGCCAACAGGACTCCTCTGTGTTTGAAGGTGCTTTTAAGTGTGAGCATAGCGGTATCTTTTGCAGCATCTTCGGACCCAACTTCCCCACCTATTTTTATCCCATCTAGTGTTTGAAAACAACAGCAAGATTGTCATTGTGATGGAGTATGCCAGCAAGGGAGACCTGTATGACTACATCAACGAGCGGCAGAGGCTGACGGAGCAGGAGGCACGAAACTTCTTCCGGCAGGTTGTCTCTGCAGTCTACTACTGCCACAAGGTAAGCAAAACAGCACTGTTCTTGGGGGCTGGGAGACAGGTGGGCACGGGGCCATCTCCATGACCTAACCAATGCAAAAGGTGATAGCCAGCCACAGCCTTAGTGTGGCTTGTTCCAATAACAGATGGACTCGGAGCTTGTGAGCAGGGAGGAGAGGATGGCAACAGAGTTGGTATCTCCCCACTGGAAGAGGATTCAGGCTGTTTGTGACAACACTAGGAACAGACAGATCACTTTTGATTGTCCTGGCAGATTCATGGTCTCCAACTAGCCCCTTTCCCATTCACATCCCGATCCGCAGCTCACCAGACTGTGCTGCGGAAGGCACAGGAATAAGACTCACATTCATGGGTAACTGGTTACCCGGTAAGCATCACCTGGTTAACCAGTACCTAGAAGCAGCCTCCAGCCCATAGTCAGCTGCAGGTGAAGAGCTGCTCCAGCTCCATGTGGGTAGAGCCAACTGCCCTGTATGCAGGGACGCAGGAGCAGAATCTGGCTACCCTGTAGACTGCTTCTATAAGAGTCCACTCCAGCCCAGCTGGACTCTGCTAGATCAGTTGAACTTTACTAGTTAAACCGTAACTGATTAATTGGGGATTTAACATCCTTGGGTGCGGATGATGGAACAGCCTAGGCTGAAGGGGGTACATAAGTCAAACTCTTCACTAGATAAAACCTCCCATCTGGAGGAGGCAGCCTTGCTAGTGCATGTCATCTGGCTGGCTAATGAGCAGACTCTCCTCACTTTACTTTGTGCTCTAGCTGGGTCCAGTCCAGCATCTCTTCTCTCCCCGCCCCAACAACCAAGGTCATCTAGTGCTTGACTTACAATGAACCCTCCAGACAGGGAGCAAAGCGGGCGAGTCCTGTGCCGGCAGCTACCTCCTAGCTCTGGCATGTCTTACTGCTAAAGTGCCAGGCCTTTCTAACAAGGTTGGTCACAGCGTGTGAATTCCAGCTCAGCCCCAGGGTAAGAGGAACACCCAGAGCTGTCTTAAAGTAAAAGCAAAAATAGCCTGGTTCCAGTTTCACTCTTCATCTGGTGGGGTAGGGACACGTTGCATCATGCCCATGCAGGGACACCTGGTGAAAGACCATGCATGGAGGCAGGAGGGGGCAGACTGGTACTCTATTATGCCTTCAGGCTGGCTTTTGCTTGTGTACCACCATGGGCAAAGGCACTCCCGAGGGACTGGTCCCCAGCACAAGTTTCACACTGGCTTACAACTAGGTCACTGAACAGTCAGGCAGCTTGAGCGATGATGGTTCTCCAAGCTTGGCACCCAGTTTGTGGTCATGTCTTGGAACAGTTGATTTCATTGGTGCCCAATAATTCTGATCGCGGCTCGTAAACACCAGCGCCCCTCTGCCTGCTGCTACTGCTGGTGCACATCCAAGCCCCAGAACACAGGTCCCTGAGAAATGTGGGCAGGTCCAGCACATGCCAACTCGAACCTTCTACTTCCTGGCCCCATAGCAATGGGGTGCCTCATTGGGCTTAGTGGATTGCCCCCACCACCCAAAGAATTTCCTGTTAGGCTGTGAGTCATGAAAGTCAAGACCGTGAGGGGCAACTGAGGCTAGTGAAGGGGCTGCATGAGTGGCCCTCCTCCATCTCAGTGGGCCGCAAGATCGCCCGAACCAAGATAGGGCAGTTTAGCTAACTGCTTGCATACCTGGAATTTGCAGGGGGTGCTGATTGAACTGTAGCAGCGCTGCGATTGGATGCAGAAGGAGCACACGGCTCTGTCAGTGTTGCGTGCAATCAGCATGCACCTCCCTCATGTGCCCTGGCTTTATGTGCGTGTCACTTTAATACTGGCCAGGGAAAAAAACTACCCGGGCAGAAACCAGCAGAATCTAGCACCCTGCATGTGGGCAACACCTAGAACTCCAGTGGACTGCAGGTTACCCGTCACTAAGTCCAGGCCTTGGCTTTTGGCACCTCATTATGGGAAGCATTTGTCTGTAGATTCCACTTTATCGCCTCTCCATGAAGGGGTGGGGAAGTCCTCCTATCTTGTCTGAGCTGTTCACAGGCTCAAGATAATGCTGGCAGCAGGTAGAGAGATTGTTTATCTCAGACAGGTTGTGTCTGAACTCCAGTAACCTCCCTGCTGTGACTAACTCCCTTCCTTGGTAAGCCAAACACAAACTCCACTTTCTCTTCTGCCTCTCTAGAACGGAATTGTTCATCGGGATCTGAAACTAGAAAACATCCTGCTTGATGGAAATGGCAACATTAAGGTGAGTGAGGCTGACACACGCCCAGTTGCTTTTTTGAAACTTACGTGCCCATGTTCCTTGTAAGCTGGGCACCTGAGGCTGCTCAGGAGAAATTCAAATGCTGCCCAGCTGACTAGCAGAGCACGATTGGTTTCCCCTGGTGGTGCACATTGCACATGCATCGGTGCACAAAATGTATTCTGCACATGGATGGAAAAGAGAGAGGGTACATGGATGCAAACTGCAAAAGTCTCTCATTCTCCTGACTTGCAGCAAACTGGGTCTAGTTTGCAAGGTTTCTAGCATGGAGCACGGCTTTGTTCCTTAATAGATTGGGCACTTCAAGTTGCTATAGTTGACTCAGGGCCATGTAGACACTGGGAAGGCAGAGCCTCACTCTTAATCTTCCACTGGGTGGTCAGGACTCTCAATTTTGATGTGTTTGGGGAGGATTCAATATGCTTTTTGAGACCTGTTGACTCCCCACAGTAGCCCTGTAGTTCTTTAGCCCTGGCTCACTGCTTCCGCTGGCCCTGCAGTGTAGGTGAGTATTTTGAAGTGGAATATGGCTGGCCCATTCGGTCCACACTGAAGGATTCGGTCCATACTAACCAGCCCACGGGGAAGGGGGTGTGATGAGATCAAACTTCGTGATCCTGCTAAAATACTCAAAGGCTTCGCTCTTGCCTAGCAGTAAAGTGCCCCTGTAATGCCCTTGCAGTTCAAAGGGCATGTGGGGTAGGCAGTACCACTGTGATTTGACCTGTTAACCGAAGATTCCCAGAAAGGCTTGATAACTAATGGCAGATTCCCAGAAACTCTGCCAGCTCTTGAAGTCGTTATTGCTTATCTGATGGCTGGTAAACACGCAAAACAGAAACCAAAGTCCAAAGAGGGACACACCTACCCAGCTCGGAACTCAAAAGAGAAACCACTTCATAATTTACAGAGGAGGAAATGCGAGTGAGCACAAAGAAGACAGTTTCTGATAAACTTGCTTCCTGATGATCTTTGCTAACGGCTTAAAATGCCGTTTTCTGTGCCAGACATGAGCTTTTTGTAAGCCATCTGATGGGAAGGAGGAAGAGTAGATGCCCTCTAAGTGCTTCACCTGCTTCCTTCTTGCCCTTGGTCTGGATGCCTTAAGCAACCCTCTTTTATGTCTGGCCTCTGGCTTTGTGCACTAGCCATGCCACAATCATCCAGGAGTCACTGTTCTCCTCTAATAAGAGACAGGTACAAACAGAGCAGGGACTCTGTACAGTTAATAATAAACAAAGCTCTGGAGTCTGTTATCTTAACAATAGGCAGTTCTGCACTTGCAAGCCTGCATGTACTGTACCTTCTGGTTCACTTGATTGGCCATAGCGTTGATGTAGGTGATAGGCATTCACTCATGGTACAGCTTTACTGTGGAGGCATGCCAACAAGGAGAGCAAAGCCACTGAACAACCTCTCGGGGCTGTTAAACTTACCGGAGCCTCCGGGGCAGATGGGAAAAGCTTTTTCCACATGACACTTGTCTTCAGGGAAGTCCAAGAACATGTCGTACAAGTAGCAAGATCCTTGCCCCTAACTGAGCATCTGTCCCTCCCCGGTGCCAGAAATAGCGATTTCATAATAGCTTATTTTGAAATAGCACATCTTTGCAGCAGGGAAGCCTCAAAATTAGTCCGGAGCAGGCTCCCCTAATGTAGATGGGGAGGAAGAACTTAGCATGGCCCTGGTGAGGGGCTATTTCGAAACAGCAGCAGTGGAGTGCCTACACACGCCTTATTTCGAAATAACGGAATGGCTGTGTAGTTTTGAAATAACACTAGTTATCGCAAAGTAACGGTGCAGTGTAGATGCACCCTTAGACTAACAGCAGGTTCACGCTGCCTGGTGCTATTGGAACCTCTGTGCAGCAGAGGGTCTGAGTAAATCGATGGACTTGCCCATAAGAATGGCTTTGGGGAAGACCAGATAGGGCAGGGCTACAGATCCAGTTTCAGAAGTGGAAAATCAGCTAGTTACCGCTTCTCACGTGATGACCAAAGGACACACATTCTAGTGTCGAGCCGGCAGTGGAGACTATGTAGGGCGCTCCTTGCTTTTTCATTTTTTAAAGGCTCTTTGTAGGGTATTTTTTGTGTGTGTTGGACTCCTACATCTCTGCCCCCCTCTAACAAAGCAAATCTCTCCCTCTCTAGATAGCAGACTTTGGCCTTTCTAATGTCTACCAGCAAGACAAGTTCCTGCAGACCTACTGTGGCAGTCCTCTCTATGCATCCCCCGAAATTGTCAATGGGAGGCCCTATAAAGGACCAGAGGTAAGCTGCCTCCCCCTCTCCTAAAAAGTGCTGGTGTGAGTGCTTCTCTCCCCTCCCTGCAGTGTGGAGCAGGGAAGGGGGTTTTGCTTTAATTGGGGTGGGGGCATGTCCCACTTGCTAATGCAGGGACCAACCAGTCCTCCTCATGTCCCCTCCCCTAGAAGAGGGACTGTCACTTCCCTTGAGACCCTACTAGCTGGAAGAGCCAGACTGCCAAAGTAACTGTCCCATGGCAGTACATGTTGCTTGTCTCATTGAGACTCAGGGTGGTTGTCGTTAGACTTCAGACAAACTCTAGCAGTGTGGGGGAAAGCTGTTAAGAGGCCGACATGCACTCAGCTCTCCAAGAGCCACTGTAGCTGCATGCAGAGCCTGTGCCGGGGCTTTGGTGGAGACCACACGTGATACGTGGCCAGTGAGGTCACTGGTGGGGCTTGTTCCTCATCCCGTTCAGCTCATCAAGTGTTGCCTGGCGGCAGTGAGGTAATGCTCCAGCCTGCTCAAGGGGCTGCTTGTCTTGGCCTCACTCCAAGGTACTGGGGGTGGGGCAGAGTCCATCTTGCTGGAATCACATCATTCAAAGAGCCTTCTGTCTCGCAGGTCGACAGCTGGTCTCTTGGGGTACTCCTCTATATCTTGGTCCATGGGACAATGCCCTTTGATGGACAAGACTACAAGACCCTGGTCAAGCAGATCACTAGTGGGGAATACAGAGAGCCCACGAAGCTATCAGGTAAGCAGAACTCCCCATACCTAGAGGCTCTTGTATCTCCCCCCCCCCCCCCGCCCCCCCCCCCACCTCACCACTACCCTTCCTAGATGCCTCCGGGCTGATCCGGTGGATGCTCATGGTGAACCCCGAGCGCAGAGCCACCGTTGAGGACATTGCCAGCCACTGGTGGGTGAACTGGGGCTACAAGGTGCCTATCGGGGAGCAGGAGTCGCTGCGGGAGAACGAGTCCCCGCTGGCCACGGTGGCGGAGTGGCTGCGGCGCTCCTCGCGGCCCCTCTTCGAGAACCGCTCCAAGGTGCGCTGCTTCTTCAAGCAGCACATCCCCGGTGCCAACCTGGAGAGGCAGCGCTCCCTCAAGAAGTCCAAGAAGGAGAATGACGTTGCCACGGCGCTGCAGGAGGTGGCGCTGGCTGCGGAGAGCCCCTCCAAGTCCATCCTGAAGAGGCCCAAGGGGATCTTGAAGAGGCGGAACTCCAGTGAGCAGAAGCCCCAAGCCCCTGCCCCTCCGCCCATGGCAGCCACGGGGGACCCGAGCGAAGACGGTGTGGCGCAACCCATGGACTTGATTCGTGTCCTCTCCTCCAGAAGCCTGGCCTGCACCACGGATGGTGGCACGGCTGCCGTGGTGGTGCCCAAGAAGGGCATCTTGAAGAAGCCCCAAAAGCGAGAATCTGGGTATTACTCATCCCCAGAGCGCACAGACTCCTGGGAGCCTTTAGACGCAGACTTGGAGGCCAGTGTCTTTATGAGCCCCTCCCCAGGCCAGAGCCCCGAGGGCCTTCCCGCCCGGAGGAAAGGCATCCTGAAGCGCAACGGGAAATACTCCTCCGGCAACACCGACTCGGACAGCGACCCCATCCAGGGCTTCGGTTCCTTCCACGAGGTGGCCCTGCCCAGACACCCGCTGGCCTCCCGGGCCCACCCGTCCAGCGCGGTGAGTGAGGACAGCATCCTTTCCACTGAATCCTTTGACCAGCTTGACCTGCCCGAGAAGATGCTGGACGGGGGCGGGGGCATGCGCAGCTGCGTCTCGGTGGACGACATCCTCTGCCTGGAGGAGGCAGAGGAGGAGCCGGGGCGCAGGCTCCGCCGCTGGACTGTGACCCGGTGCCAAAGCCCCCTTGGGGACAGCCGCTTCTCTCTGGCAGACTGTGAGAATGTCACGGACGTCTACAAGCGGGCCATGGCGATCAGCATGAAGCTGAGCTGAGGTGCCCCGCTGGCAAGCTCTCGAATATGCCTCTGCCGATGGGATGGGGCTGTGGGGCACAGCTGGGCCAGACTGCCCTGCCTTTGAGGTGGGGCGTGGGGTAGAGCTCTACCCAGCCTGGCTGTCTTCATTGCAAAGCCTGTGACATTGGAAGTATTTATTTGCATCCTTGTGCTGTTTCTGGCCTGGGGTGTGCATGGAGCAGGAGGGGCAGGAGAGAACACTCTGGTTTTAACAGTACCATAGTGGCTTACAAAGGGCACAGCAGAGGGATAGGTGTGTTTGGCAGGAATGAGGTATGTTGCATGAGCAGCAGGGGGACGTAGCATGAGAGTGAAGGCCAGTGCAATGGAGGGGTAGGTATGCCAGTGTGGGTACCCGTCTTGATCTGCAGGGAACACTAAACTGACCAAATACTGGAGAAGTAGCAAGCCTGCCACCTAGAAACAGGATTAACTCCTGCTGTAGGTGTGCTGCAGTCACCCAGGGAAAGGTTAAGCCAGAGGGTCTCTCTCAGAATTCTGCTGCCCATTTTTGCCGTTCGCTCTCCTGGACACCCTCCCCTCACCCTGCCCACCCTCTCCAGGGAGGGAGTGGGAAAAGTTGGATGGCTTCAAATTCTGTTCAATTGCACTCTGCTGTCTGCTGCACAAGGTGAGAAGTCAGGGCCAGGGAAGGATGGAGACTTAGCAGGGCAATGGCTGGAGAACAGCCTCTGGGTTAAGAAGATTCTGTCTGACTTGTAGACACTTGGGGTTTACTGGCATATATGGGGTCTGACTTTGCCTGCTCAGGAAGCCTGAACTGGAATAATGCACATTTCTCTAATCTGGGTATGTTGGGATGGTTACCCCCCCCCCCCCCCCCCCCCCACAACACCCACCCACAGCACCCGGGCCAAACCTTCTGTCTGAAGCAATCAGGTGGGAACTATAACACGTATTCCAAGCTGACTCAACAGCCCCGGCTAAACTCCTCCAGCTATTTGGGTTCTCCTGCATCTTGCTTGGGCCCTAGTCAAGTGCAAGTCATAAAACTCGCTGCTCTCTGCAGTGGGACCCTGTCTTGCAGTTGTTTTTAAATCCACTGGACTGGAAGAGCATCCTCAGCCAACCTTACAGTCTGTCAATCAGACACAGCTTCTGGTTAGAGGAGTGACTCCACTCAATGGGAGTCAGGTGCCAAACTCCCTGGAAGCCCCTCTAAAAATTGCCTTTGACAGCAAAAAGTCACTTGGACCAGAAACCATGATGTTAAAAAACAAACGGGCAGGTGTTCTTGCTGCCAGCAAGAGTGGGAGGGAGGGGAAAAAAGTCTGAATTGTTTTTTTTAAAATGTCTATTTTTGCTTGTCCGGGCCTTGGGAGGGAAAAATATTTATTGTCTTGTTCATACTGAGTTATGTAAATTAATGTGGCACTAGGTTACCCTGGCTCCAATGCAAAGCTGTCCCAAACCTCTGTCAAAAGAGAAAAGCTGTCTGTAAAACATGATCTCTCCCGATCCATGCATGGGGATTTACAATCCTGCCTTGTCTTCTCTCTGGCTCGTTGCCCCTTCCCAAGATGTGTCTGTTTCTGTCCTCTTGCTCCCAAAGTGTGGTCCAGAGAAATTCATTAAATTAAAAGTAAAACGTAGACCTGACTCTTGTTTGCTGTCTGTGTCCCTCCCCACGGATTGGGGGGAGGGGAATGAAAGTTAAAAGGCACTTGCCATGGAGTTAGTGGCTCTGTGGAGCTTCCTTTCACACTTGTGCATCTGCTCCTTGCTAGGTCTGTGGCTTGGGCAGTGTCACATGGGCCGTGGTGACCTGGGAGAGGCAGAGGACTCTCAAATTCATTTGTTGCCCCCCTGTGCTCTGAACTGAGCAGCTCACCTGGGGTGTGGTGGCAAGGGGAGGGCTGGCTCTAGCAGGAAGCTGTGGCTGGGAGCAGTACAACCCAGCCAGGAGACCTGAGTGCATCCAAGCCCCCTGCCTGAGGTCCAGCAGTGGCCCTGGTGGTACAAAGATGTCCTCTAGCAGCCACCTCTCCAGTGCGTGCAGCTGAGCTGACAGGCACCTTCCTCTAGCTTGTGCAGTCAACCAGGCTAGTAGGCTGCATCTTCTTGGAGGGGGTTGGATTATTCTCCCTTCACGGGGCTGAATGCTAGTTAACTCCACACCGAGGCAGCCTCCTCCCCTGCCGCGTTAGTGGTTTGGTTAACAGGCCAGTGGCACGGGCTCACTGAGAACTCAGTCCTCACTGTGTATTGCTTGTCAAACTCGCCCTCCTCTGCCCCCCAAGTTTCCTCTCTAGTGGCCCCTCAAAGGGCTCCTATCCACCTTGAGGGCAAGGAACTAACCTTCCCCTATTGAACTCTGCCACTCTCAACTGGAATTGGCCCACCAGGAAGGCCCTACATAAACTCTTCATCTCTCTCTTCCTCCCCCCATGCTGGAGCTTCTTCTCATTCCTATAGGAGTCTTGTGTGTTTCATACAAAGCCCTCAGAAGCAAAGGCCAGCTGGAGAGGAGTGCTGGCCAGCTAGTGGGCATCCCCCAGCCCTCGGCTGTAGGTACAAAAGAATTGCCTCTGGCCTGCCCAGTCATGGACATGTGGAAGACTAGAGAGCAGACCACCCAGTCCCTCAATGCCCCTGGGCTGCTAAAACAGAGCAGAGAAGAGCCCATGGGACATGCAGTACCCGAGAAGTGGGTGGTATCCGCTTGGGTGGGAGGATGATCAATCAGTAATTACCAACCCCAATACAAGGTGGGAGGAAAGTAGGCTGAGCCCTGCTCCACCAGAGGAAGGATTATGCATGCCACAGGGAGGGCTCTGCCTAGCCTGAATGGAGAAGGGAATTGTCCTTCAAGCAATGGAAGGATTTTATCCTCTTTCTAGGAGAGTGAACCTTTGCCACCCAGATTTTATCTAGCAGGCAGGCCTAGGCAAAGAACTCCGGAGGAGGATTATAATGAACCTGTGGCCCAATTGTGAAATGGAGGCCCTCATCCTAGGACACCCCTGCTACCCTCTCTCTCTGCATGGCTGCCGCTTCACCTGCTGATGGCTCTGCAAGAAGCAATGGCCGGAAGCGGGTGAAATACAAACTCATTGCAGAGCTGGTGGAAAGAGGCACCTGCTGCTCTCCTGCCAAAGCCAGGGGCTGTAATAGCTGGGTCTCATTGCAGTGATGATGTTGGTTTTGGTGGCCTGTTCCAGCCAGGAGATCAGACTCCAGCTGGTGGTTGCTTCTGGCCTTAACCTCTGTGAGGCCAAAGGCTTTTTCGGTTTCGTTCAAACTTCAGACAAGCCTCAGAAGAAACACAGGGGGAAAGTTGGATGAATGGCTCTGGTGTGAGCTTAGGCCTAACCTTACAAGAGCTAGGAACTTCAAGGGGTAGCTGAGTTAGTCTATAAAGTGCCACCAGACCATTTGTTGTTTTTTCCTGTACAGACTAACAAAACATGTAGATGATGTCATGAGCTTTCATGGGCACAGCTCACTTCTTCAGATGCCCAGAGGTTTGAGTTTAGGATGTGCAGACCAAAAATAAATGGGGAGGATGGGGAGAAGAAGAGGAGAGTGCTAGGAACTTGGAGTTCCCCCAGAACCACCACAAAGGGCACTGCTCTAGAGAAAGGGCCAAGCACTCCTAGTTTAATAAAAATCTGATCCTGGGTAGAGGGCTTGTCTTGGGTAGCCACTGAAAAAGTAGCCAGAACAGGGCCAAACCTGGAGCCTGTGCAAATGATGTCATAATGATGATCTTGTCAAGGCTGCAAGATCTGTGTTAATGATGTAATGTCCATGCATCCGATAAAGTAGTTTTTTATCCACAAAAGCTTATGCCCAAATCAATCTGTTAGTCTGCCACAGGACTCTTCCTTTTTCCAGTAATGAGGCTCAGGGCTGGATTACCCAATAGACAGACTAACCACGTGTTTAGGGCACCAGCAAAGCAGGGGCACCAAAAAAAAAAAAAAAAAAGAGATTTTACGGTATAGTCTTGTTTTTATTTTGAATTACATATGGGGGGGGCACCATACTCTTTTCAGTGCTTAGAGCCTCTAACAGTCTTAATCTGGCCCTGATGAAGTGGACCCTAACCCTCTGACTGCTAGAAGCTAGGAGATAACTGGGTTTCTCCAGGGTCTCTGTTCTGCATGCTCCCTGTGATGTTCTGGTACTAGCAGCAGTGGGAGACAAGGTACTGGCTGAAATGGACCGTCTGGCTGTTCTGATGACAAGCACCAGCCACTTGTGGGCCTGCTGGCTACCCCACTGTAACATACATGCAGGGTTGGTAACTCCTGTGCCTCTACCCTGTTGTATTTAGTTTGCATCTCTCTGGGTAGCATTGGCTCAAGGGAGAGGTTTCTACACGAGCCGTGTCTGTCCCTTCAGGCTCAACATGCAATAGACTGTCTGTGGGAACAATACCAAGCTCAGATTTATAATGTTAACTGGGCAGCCACCTGCCTTATACTCAGAAATCTAGGGACCTAGTACTGCACCCATGCAAGCTAGTGAGAGCCATTGCTTTTGGGGTTCACACTGGGGCTCTGAGAATTTGAAACCACAACCCAGCCCCATCACAAGCCTACACCTCCCCTACCATGTCTTACGCTCAGACCACAGGGCCTGGTGTATACAGCAAATGAGGAGAAGGCAGCAGGAACTGCTTTCAGACCTTGCATGTTGGTGGTAGGACCCCACAGTGTCCCAGACCCAGCTTTTGAAAGGAACAAAAATCTCAAGGGAGAAGAGCATGATGGGGGTGAGCAACGAGCATTCATGCCCCCGGAATAAATAATCTATTGAGTTTGATTCAGCTCCCCAGTTAACTTTCTTAGTCCAGCACGGGAGAGGGGATACTCAGGTTCCAACCTCAGGTCTGGATTACAAAGCACAGTAAGGGGCATCCCCCAAACCTCAGCACTGTGCTGTCTGAGTGGGAGAGGTCCTGCTCTGAACTTTGCTGCAGAAATTGATGTGCTGCTCCCGGCTCTGGAATCTGCTGCCTCAACTCTTTAGGGGTTTTAAAGAAACTTTATAGCTGCTTAAACAGGACTGATTGAATCAGGAAAAGCTGAGCTGGGGTCATGTGCCTACTGAGTGTCAAAGGGAAATTCCCTCTTTATCCTCTCTCCCCCCCCCCCCCCCCCCCCACTTCATGCTGCTGCTATCCTGCTAGGGCACTGAAGTAGGTTTTATGAGCCTGTAAAGCACTGTAACATTTTCCCCTCGTTTCCACTTGGGTTAATAAAAGACATTTCACATCTCCGCCTCCCACCCCCTTACCCCACGGGCTGGTCGCTGTTTAACAGAGGGTGAAATGAAACCCAAGGAAGAAAGCCGTGAATGCCTGGAATTTTTCCCCCCCTCTTGTCCCTGTTTCAGATGAAATTAACAAGGGCAATGTGCAATCCACCCCCTGCAGAGAATTCCCTGCATGCTTCCAGATCCATTAAGAAACTCAGGAGTGCTTTAAAGCCTTTCTGAGGACATCCAGATTAACCAGGGCAAAGTCTCAGCACCCTCTGGATTTTAGGTGAGAGAAGGGAGGGTTCTGCTAAACTTGGATAACTTGGCAGCAATCAGGGCAAAAAACGGCATGAGCAGCTTTTCTAACCAGACTGTATAGCATGCCACTCACTTCTGAATGAACCAGTCGGCCTAGGCACCGGGATATGTTCTTTGTAGGGACAGAGCAACACAGCAAGCTGCGTGGCTGCCTCCCCCACCCACCTGTTGCCTGTTTTAGCTGTCAGCTCTTTGCTTTCAAAAGGGAGCAAGCACCTGGCCAGCGTGTGTGCACAAGGCCTCGTGGGAATGAGCCCTGAGTTTAGCAGGGGTCTCTAGGCATCGCTGTGAAATAAAAAG